AAAGTTGGGATCAGCTCTCAGCACAGAACGAAAAATTCCCGATTCTGTCCTTGCCCAGAAAGGTCTACTACCACACAGCAAAATATACGCTATAACACCAATACTCCAGATATCTGCCTCTGTACTGTATGATCTATGTAGGACTTCAGGGGCAACGTAGTATGCACTTCCAACAATATCATTTAGTCTTTCTTCTGCACAATCATAAATAATTTTTTTACTAAATATCAACCATAATAGGATGGAACATGCCAAAGTAAAAAATAGTGACAAAAGAGAATGTCCGAAATAAAAAAAATTGAGCAGTTTGAGAGACAAATGTACTAAAGATGCCAGGTTAGACAGGGCCATGGGATATTCAACTACTAGGTTACACAACCAGGTTAATTTCCCAGTTAGTATCCCTTCTCTCCATGACATCTCTGTTTAAGAATATTTTTTTCATCCTTATTCTCATTTATATTCTTCTTTGAAACAAATTCAGAGGATGGTCCAGCCACAAGCTATAGTCCCCTTCCCACTGTCCCAGTCCCCATATCAACTGATTCAGCATTTCATCAAGTTAGGCAGGTTGATCTTATAAAAGTATGAAGCACCCACTTCAGACCTACTCCTAACAATTCTGGTTGCAATAGGTGGTACAATATTGTGAAGTTAATAAAATTCAGATGTGATCAGTGACCAAATAAGAAAGAAATATATATGATCAGAAAGCTAGAGCCAGAAAACACTTCTGTACAGCTAACGCTTCAACCACCTTCCATTCTGATCCTCTTATATATATATATATGTGTGTGTGTGTGTGTGTGTGTGTGTGTGTGTGTGTGTGTGTGTGTGTTTTCACAGACTAGCCATTAAAAAGATATGATCCTTTTATCTGATGTTCATAGTAAGATTTGTCCTTTTTCTACTTGTATACATTTATTTTGATCATGGGCCTACACATAGTTCCATTCCTTTTTAACCAATCTGTTTTCCTCCCATTACTCGTATGATATCTGCTTATGCAACATTTTTATCTCTATGTGCTATGTCTATGCATAAAAGCTGAAAAAAAAATATAAGGCTTTTATTGCATCAAATTCTTATACATGATCATAATGTCCATTGAAAAGTAAACTCATTTCATAAGACCAGAAACGACAGCAGAATATCACCAAATCTAAATGCTGCTTTTCAGAGGACTTTATATAATAAAATCTAAAGCAATCACAACATGTGACTCTGATAAAATTAAAATTTTAATATAACCAAAATCTGATGATTCCAGAATAGCTGCATATCTTCATGTCTGGAGTGACTAAATTGACAATAAAGGATAACAGATAAGCACAAAATTACATGTAATTGGCAAATGCTCACCTGGTTTAATAAAATCAGAAAGACCAAAATCAATCAACTTCATTGGTGAATTTTCATCTTTCGTAGCGAAAAGAAAATTCTGTCATCAACAATAGAAAAACATCAGCAGCATAGAAAAAAATTGTTAAGAAAGAATGAGAGAAATAGTTACTGCAGAAAATAGCATATGCTGCAATGACTTAGTAGTTTGTGATATAGACCTCTGGCTTTAGATCGCGATGTACAACACCTTGAAGATGACAAAAGGCAACTACACTGAGAATTTGAACAACAATAGCCTTTGCATCCTCCTCCAAGTACCTTCCACCTCTTGAAAACACAAGAAATAAGGATTTCAATAAAAAAGTTAATGTATGAATAAGAAACATCAAAGAGTTGTTAATGATCTCAAAGAAAAACCTGGATAGAATTCTATCTAATAATTCTCCACCTTCACATAATCTGGAAAAAAGGAAAAGAAAGAGATAGTAGGATTGTCACACCAGAACACCAAAATGTATAATGTACATATCATCGTCATTCATCATGGAGAAACCTTTTCTTTTATTAATCTTGAAAAGGATTCTCATTTATCAATAAGTCATACTAAGTGGGATGCAATATGCATATTTTAACAGTATTTACAGGACAGCAGAGAATCAATCAATCCAACCTAGAATAACAAGGAACAAATATCAGAGAGTGTAGCGCAGGTAATTATATTCCTAATATTACGAAAGTCATTAAAACAATGAGAAGAAAATTAAGAAGACATACTCCATGACTATGTAGACGTTAAGTGCATCCTCACATGCATCATAAAACTTGACAAGATTTTTATGGCCAGACAAAGATTTCAGGATTTTGACCTCCCTTCGAACATCTTCAATTGAAATTGGTGTTGTCATCTGTAACCATAAAAAAAGGTAAGCTAACCACATGGTCAAATTAAAAACCAGTATGCAGCATGGGTGATCATCTTATTATGCTAGGCATGAGTCGAGTTCTAAATATAGACTCAGAAAATGCCAATACTCAGATCACCAATATGTAGATGTGAAGCAAGGCATAATATATCCCTTTTGTCTATAAATGAAAAAATTGCTCCAAGCTGATGCAAAATTTTCACTTATGCTAGCTTTGGCCATTTTTTTATTCATTCAATGTGGCAGCCAGTCACAATTGGATGTCAATGGAACTATTTAATTCAAACACAAACTTGGTGTTACTTGTCCTAGTAGAACCAAAAATTGAAATATCAGTATGGCCAATATATATCAATCAAATAGTCGTATTGACATGTATAACTCCGTACTGGTAAAGTATATGTTTATTTTTCATTATTTTATTCAATTATACTAGGTAGTACAGGTAGGTATACTAATACCATATTGATCCAACAAATCATTGAAGTTGTTATCGGACCAATATTTAAATCATTTGAGAAAATTGTGGCGGAGCAGCTACTAATAATGACTGAATTCCTCTTCCCAACAAATATGAAGTCAATAAATTTGTTTACTCCTTGAAACAAATAGCCTCCTACTTTCCCCCTTCCCTTTAGAAGGTAAAACAATTAGATTTGAGATCACTAGAATAAGGAAAACAGCAAAAAATTTATCTAAATAACTTCAATATAAATGATCCTCACATCTAGGCACTTCAATGGATATCTATATGCATACAGTGAAATGAATGTAACTGACCGCGACAATTTTTTGATAAAATTATTAATGCATCTTATCAAACTGCATTTTACTACTATTGCATCCCACTGAAACTCTAGGAATTCAAGTTGAAACCACTAATTTGACACACTGCCATGCATGCAGGTGCTTTGCATCACATAGTCTTTCTGATGTCATTTTTCCAGAAATCGCTGCAAACCAAGATAAATTGTCACTCATCTAATCAATCCATTTAGGGCAACTATCATACTTTTTGTAGTACACATTGCTTGCACAAACATGTTAGCTTTTCTAGAGTGTTCATAATACGTTAGTGAGTGTGGACATGCACATTTATTAGATGAAATAGTAGATGGTTATATTATATAGTGACTCGATGATTGTACCAGAGGATTTAGTTATGTCCTTCCATTTCTTGAGCCAATGACCAAAAAAATCCTATCAAGTATAGAAGCATTTTGATAAAGCGTCTCACCTTCTGCAAATCGTTGGTTGTCACTAAGATTCATACACTGGAAATTCTAACTAATCAGAAGTGAGAATGCGATATATCCTGTGTGCAAGTAAACAATGAGTACATGGTTTACATACATGCTTAAAACCATATAAGGGTGAAATGTCATCAAAAGAAAGCACGAATTGCTATTTCATTATTAATGAGTCAATGGCAAACCATAACTGATCTTAGAGCCTCTATAGCTCACTGGCATGCCGTTTCTTAATTCTTGTCACAGAATATACAACATTCATGCCATGCAAGCAGGCACAACTCTTCGGCACCCTTCCCCTCCCCCAACTCACCCGCCCACACCAAAAAAAAAAAAGAGGACAAAAACGAAAAAGGAAAACAAAATAGAAGAGACTAATTTTAAGTTAAGAAGCAATCTATCAATAGTCATATTGTCGACCGACCTAATGGGATAATTGACTCATTAGTTTTGTTGAAGACTCTGAACCACTATCCTAAAATGAACCAACAAACAAAAATGATGAGGAAGAGATAACCATGCTGGACCTAATAAATTATATAATTCGGAATATATCATTTGGCAGTAAATAGTTGGCGATTGTTAAAGAAACACTAAGGGTAGAGACGGGATAAGAGTGAACCAAAAAATGTCCTCCTTGGACATCCCACCGCACCTTTGCTTTGGAGATAATCTTGACGGCGACAAGCTGACCCTTGATCTCGCCTTTCTTGGCAGTGGCCAAGCACGTGTGCCCAAAATGCCCCCTTCCAACCTCCTTCCCTAGTTCATACTTGGCCCCGAAGTTCTTGCCGTACCCGAAGCTCTTATCCAGCGGCCTCTCCACCTCCCCAGTCCCGTCCTCGGGGATCGGCCCTTCCTTAGGCTTCGGCGGGCCCTGGCGCTTCACGAGGGCGGCCATTATATGCTTCGCCGGGGACGGCGGCGGGAACGGCCGGCGGAAGAATCGCCGCGGGGTTGACCTCGCCGGCGATGGGGAGATCCCGTCGGGGAGGGGGCTGGCGGATCCTTGCGGGTGCGGGCTGGGCCACGCGCTGGCGCTGGCGGAGGAGCGGACGGGCGTGGCGGCTCCGCTCCGACCCTTCCGCTGCGGGGTTGGGGGCGCCGGGGAGCCGACCCTCGGTCCGCCGTTGACCGAGGTCTGGGGATCCCGATGTCGACCGGCGTCGCCGTCCTCGGCGGCAGAGACGTTCTTGCCGTAGCACTGCCCCATGGCCCTGCCCACCGCCGCTCCCTCTCCTCCGCAGACTCGTCTTCTATCTCGCTAGGGTTCGGATTGGTTCCAATCGCGAGAAGAGGGGGGGTCAAAGAGGCGGCAGTCGAGAGAGAGAACACGAGGAAGAAGGGAGACGAAGGAAGGGATCGCAATTAAACGGCTTCCTCGAAAGCGTGGGGTAGAATGACACCCTGACTTACTCCAGGGACCGATTTGTAAGAAACCGAGCCCGGCTGAGTCAGATGGGAAGACGGGCCGACCTGGTTTTGTTTCTTCCGGTCCCATTTCAAACCGATCTGCCATAACACCCCCCGCAGCAAACGACCCGTACAACACTATCAACTCTCAGTAAGGTGACGTCATATATGGACGTGTCGGAAGCGGGATGGTTGAGAAGAGTGTTCGACGAAACGAGTGGGAGCGGGGGATGGAGGAATTCTCGGTTCGGGGTGCCGAAATCGCTCCCGAAACACTGCGTGTCGCCGAGTGCGCAAACTCGCGGTTATTACGGCACACTGACGCCGCAGTAAATCAATATAAAATGATACCTAATAAGAAAAGAAATATATATAATATATAGTATGTCTTCTTTTACATTATCTGTTTACACACCATGCTGGATTAGCACCATTGACATTATTGCAGGATGGCTGCGAGAATCATGCTAAGCCATCATGAGAAAAAGGAAAAAAAATGAAAGGAAAATAGCATTACTAAGTGGTCTTTTCTTTTTCTTTGCTTGCTTTTTTCTTTATTGGAGGAGCTGATGGCAATTGATGGAGATGCATGTAGTAGTCTTGAAGGTGATGCAACTTTGAATAGGTGGCCTTTCACTTTAAGCTTGCCAACTTTATCTTCCCTTGTGTCATCATCTTTTACTTTTTCCTTCTTGGCTTGTATTCCCTGATCATCAAGTTATCATCCTTGGAGCAAATCTCTGTGTGGAACATAGCTTTCCAAGAATCTTAGAGATGATACAATCATCCACTTGAATGCTAATGCTGATCACCTTCTCTGGTAGAGATTTTTTTAAGACCAGCTCCAAATTTGCAGGTCCATTTGAGCAAGCTCACCTTCTTGAAGTTGGTGTTTGTGGTGCTAAAAGCAAGCATTGGAAGAACAGGTCACATAGACTGTTCAGGAATCCAGAATTTGCTTTGGCAGAACAAGATTTGTGTGGTGGTGTGGTGTGGTGATGGCCAGCATCTGAATTGCTGCACAAAAAAGACTGGTGCCTGCATAGAATAATCTTCTAGGTGTTGACTGGAAAGCTTCCACTGAGAAGAGAACCAATTCTAAATGAACCTGCATTCAACCAGTAGGTGGGATCAGTTTCATGCTCCAAAGAAAGCTAAACAATTCTAAGTCAAACCATGGGTTGGAGTCTTCATTACCATTACAAAACCAAGGCTCAGTCAAATCCCCAGCCAAAGAGAAGAAGGTAAAGCAAGCTTCCACTTGTTTCCTTTGGATCCAGTGGATGCAATTGGTTGCCTTTACATTTCTTCTTCTTCTTCTTCTTCCTCCTCCTCTCTCTTTCAGGCAGGCAAAAGATTTATTATGAGATCACAGGCCCTGAGAGGTTGCACTCTGCAAAGTTCCACACGTTTTCTGTTCTTTTGCCTTGACTTTTAGACCAATGACTCCTTCCACCATTGACTTCTCACATCATTTGAAAGTCCTCTCTATGCTTGCTGTAGCTTAGTTGACTTTATGGATGAGATCAAACAATCTGAGTAGCACTGCTACTCCAAATACTATTTACTGGTGGCAGTAACTGCAGAGTCGTGGAAGCTTGTGTGTGCAGAATCCACAGGGTTCAATCAGCCAAGTGCTTCAGTTGTAATTCTATTTATGAAGCTTATAACAACAACAACAAAACAAATTTATCCCAATCGTCAATCTCCTTTTGTTTCCCCTAATTTTGTGCTGCTGAACATAATTTAAACATGGGCAGAAATGTAAAGGACAAATAAGATGTGTGAAAGAAAAGAAATCAAATCAGAAAAAAGGGAGAAAACTAGAGGAACTATTTTAAACTTGACTGTATCAGAGCATGAACAACATACATGGGGTATAATTCTGTAAGATGTATTTTCCAAACTAATCTTTGATGAGAAGTCTACTTTGGATTAGTTTTACCATGTTCTGAATCCTAACCTGTTTAATTAAAGAATTTATTTGAACATCAAAGTAAATATGTAACCATCAGAACTTATTCATCAAGTCAGATGTAACCAAAATACTAAAAGGACATAAGATAGTGCCATAAGAAAGGAGAGATTTCTTGAAAGTATTTATGGCTGATTTAGAAGAAAAGTATTGCAATCATGTCTTGCAGTTGCTTGAATTTGAATTGTCAAAACGTGCATGCGGTGTGTTGATGTACAAATGACCTTACCGAGAGCGCAAAAGCCACTGCTTTGCGGTTCTCAAGTTTCAGATATAGCTAGGAATAAAGGATGCAGCACTGGTTTTCTGTGGGCATTCTACAGAATTAAATCCTCACAGTTGCCGAACCATATAAGAAAATTTTACTGATGCTAGCAATCAGATATCAGCTCAAAAAAATTAGACTAAGGTGATCTAAGCATTGAAAAACTATGTCAATTTAAAATACCGCATAAGCAGTCTGTGTCTTGTGGAAACATAATCTGAAACAAGCTAATGAGACATCAACCTAAAAAATGCTTCCCTTTCTGTGCCAAGTTATGATCCAAGACTTGTAATGATATATTTATCTATAACTAAAAGGATAAATGGGAACTTTGGTTTTCTTAATGTCTGAGCTGCTTCCTTTTGGCCACTGAGATATCAGACCACAAATCTAGCACTTGACTAGTAGCATTTGGGATAAGGAAATCTTAGTTAGGTATGATTCAGGATCAGAATAATTGGTATAGACAAGAATAGTTCAACAGAAGCCTGGAAAAAAATTGTCAAGGGTCTTCTTGCCAGCTTGGATGTTGGCATGAAATGTGTGTTATGCAATTTACCTCAGATAAGAGTTATATAGTGAAGTTTCTCACAGTTTGTAAAAACTATGTGAACAATTCAAGTGGTAGCCCCGTCAAAAAAGGGAGGTAGACAACACTGTTAGATTCTCAAGCTGGAGACCAGTCATATGGCCTGCTGATTTATGTCTCATACTGTTGGTAATGTGGTGCATGTGCTGGTCACAGCTTCTCTCTCTCTCTCTCTCTCTCTCTCTCTCTGCCTGCATGGTTTAGCTATAAGAATACAGCCTATACCCAGCTTTAATCAATGGCAACCAATTTAAGTACGAGAACATGGTGACAGTTCTCTTGGAATTTATTATTTTGGTCCACAACATCTAAGCCATCTTTGGTAAGTCATTATGTTCTAGGAAGTCAAACCGATGCTATGATATCATCATCTTCATTCTAGATTTGCTTTTGCAGTAGTTGCTCTTGCCTTCTCTATCCCTACTCACATGAGTTCTCTATTATAACAGATACTGTATCATTTTGATTCTTAAGTGTTTTCCCAAGTTTATAACCATTCAAGTTCTTTTCCAGATTTGAACAGACCCCGTATGCCAAATCTCTTAAGCTCTCTTGAGGCTTCTCCAAATTGTACAATGTTCGGCTGTGTCACTGATTTAACTTTATGTTGCTTATGATTAGGCTAACAACATAGCTAAGCAAAATGAGACAGGTTACAAATCCATGCAAAGATATATGGCAAACCCTTTCTCTTCTGGTAAGGATATTGCAAGCTACTTGAAATGTTTTGCTAGCTGACAAGTTAATGTATACCTTTGCAGTAATGCTTTAAGGGAGTATTATAGCATGGAGATTACAATAAAATTACATTGTTGACTAGCTCCAAAAAGATTCTATCTGAGAACAGTGGGTTAAATCCTCATGCAAAACACATTGAGATACCTTGAGTTTTATTTCTAAGCAACAAGAATGATACATGAAGAATCAGCATAGAACCACCTAGAATATGAGAAAATATGAAGAATGGAGCATGCACATGGAAATAGAAATGTAAAAGAACAAGCCAGGACTGGTAATAGCCTTGTAAATGATACATGAGTGGCATGCAAGAACAGAAGTTCTTTTCATCATCCAGGTAAATGCAGTAAATTTGTAAGAAATTCTATGGAGAATTGATAATTAAAGAATCATAAGAATACACACACTGGGGAAAAAAGGAAAAAAGAGATGTGAATAAGTTGATGTCAAATCATGATAGGCAGTTCTGCAGACTTACTGCCTTGTGAACCATACGAACGTATTCCTCACATGAGCAAAGACTTCCTGTATGTGAAGCTGAAGGATCTATGGTTAGTTTGCTGTGGTATGAAACTGAGTCCAAACATCTCCTTGAGGGCCTCCCCTTGCTCCTGAAATCCAATCAACTTGGCTACAAGCGATGCACTCTCCCTGACATGTGGCATGTCAGTTTTTGTCCAGACAAGCTGGGCCAGCTGCAGGCTCCTCTGTTTCGTGTTGAGAGCAATTCTCCACTTGGAATAGATTGTGATCCTTTCTTCTAGGGATAACTTTTTCTGCATTTGCCTGTACAGCATTTGCCTTTCGCGACGAAGATATCTCAAGCTGTCAAATTGCAAACTTTCAGATACACTTTCTAAATAATATAAAGATTATGATAATCTGATCATAACATCTAAAATTTGAGTTTAAAAATCTGCTATTTTAATAAAGGAAAAAGAGGAAACTTTAACATGGTTGCACCTTGAGGAGGACATAATGGTACGACCATCATCAGCCACTATCATGTTAGAATGCTCAGGAAGAGAAGTGTTTCTTAGAAAGGACAGCCTTCTATTCTCCACTTCCAAGTAGAAGGAGTCGGATGGATCACCTTTGAAAAGTAGGAAAAAGTAAGTCCTGTGGACTAAGGAAACATTGCATGCATGCCAAAGTTCAATTATCTCCTGCTGCTTTCTCTGAAACTCTATTGGCCATCTCGAAGGAGATTCAATAGAATACAATACTGAGTCTACTCCAACATCCTTTACAGTTTTCTCAACTTCGAATTCTTCAACTTGGGCCCATTGAGTCTCCTAAAATCAGACAACACACAAAAACTCAGTGATAAGAACAGTATTAAACTGATTCGGCATGTGATGAAATATCAGCAGGCAATTTCAGTTGCAATTTAAGATTGTTAAATTGTTAAATTTTGGATAAAAAAGGATGCCATTTGATTTGCATGACCAGTATCACACAGTAAAGGCCTGAAATGCACCGAAGGGAAATTATTATTATTTTTTCTTGTCCATGCATGAGTTAGTTAAACTTCAGATGCTGCTAACAAAGGTGAGTTCAATGATGGATCTCAACTCAGCCATACATCCACATTATTGGGACAATTAGTGAAAGTTTGCTGTCTCCTTTGTTCATGTAGAGCATTTGTTTTTCATGGGTAAACAATTCCTTTCTGTAATTCTTTGTGTCCCACTCTGCATATAAATATTTTTTACTTTTTACAGTCATGTTGATAAGTCTACTATTATAGTTACCGATTGGAGAAAACACACAACAGGATGTCAAGAATGGCATTCATAGCAACAAAATAAGAATTATGCTATATAGGTACATATATGCACATGCATAAACATATATTGATGGGATGCATCTACTATTCAAGCCAGATTCGATCCCCATCCTTAACCACCAGTAATGTTCTCTACTATTTACGAATTTATACATACCCATAATATGAGGAATATTTTTTTTTAAAACATACACATACATAAATGTACAAGTTGATAAATACATATAAACAGAGTTGATCTAATATCCAAGCAATAGGATTTAGGTCTCAAACTTACTAATTCATTATTAATTAATTCCTCCATATAGTAGACTAGCACATGGACATAATCTATAGCTCATAAAGATACAGAAATATTGCCTTAACAAAGAAGAAAAGAAAAAGAATATAGACATTTGTACAAAGGGAATTTGTGAAATTCGATAATTTTAAACACAAAATGAAACCATGTCAAAAGGATTTGTGGTTGTAATATCTTCTAGGTCATTTCTACTGCTATCAAAACTGTTTATCTTCAATTATTCAAGCATATAAAAGTTAACATAATTTGATTCTTTTATATATATTAACTGAATGAAATTGTTTTCTGTGCCATAAAACTGCTTTGTTCTTCCACTTGATCCATAAATAAGAAAACTCTATAAAATATGAACTTCCTAATCATTTCACTGTCACAGCATGTTTTGCATACATTCTTCAGATCCAAGACAGACCATCTACTTTTAGATCCACATTTGGGATCAAAAGAGGAAGACTGCTGCTGGTAAGAGCTCCCTGCCATTTATATTAGTAGTTATTTGATGCTGATGATGGATTCAAAGGAAAATGTGTCATCCAAATTCCCATGATTAGGATTACCTTATCATACTCGTGAATGTACATAAGACCACATATCAAATATATATTAGCTAAAATTAGTGAGAATACTGTAGGCAGGTGATTGTCAAGGACAAGTCTTTTGTTGGCATTCAGTGTCATAGAAAGGATATCTCACCTGATCATCAGTAAGTTCCTTTTGATGCTGGCTCTGAGCCATCTGAACCACTCCTGAAAAAAAGTTACTGACATTGGTAATATCCTCTTCAGGAACAATCCTAATATTCTGGTCTTCAATGACATGACTAGGAATAGGCTCTTCCGTGTTCTGGGATCCTTCAAATGAGTGTGCCTCATTTTTTATATCATTCAATGGCACAGAAATTTTTCTTGGAATCCAGCCAAGGCTGACAGGAAACTCATTCAAGAAGTTCGTAGGTGGTCTCCCGTCATGCTGCTCTGCCTCTTCAGTCCAAAAAGAGGATGAAGTAGTCATAAGGCTTGCCCTGCAACTTCTGCTTCTAGTTAGTGGCAACTCCCTGAAAGTCATTATTTTTGGCATTGTGGGCCATGGAGACATATCATCAAGACATGTTTTTATGAAATCATCAATTGTCTCTGATATGCTCTTCACTGATTGCTCCGTTTCAGGTCTTAGAAATGCATAGCTTACAGATTGTGGTCCAGTATCTTCAAGATTGTCTAAATCAGTCTGAGATGGTAGATCATCACTTTCTTCAGTCAATGGTGGATTGAACTCCTCAATTCTATTTGTGCCTAAAGCATGTATCTCAAGACACCTAACTTCCCTGTAATGGTCTTCAAAATCGTTTGATGAGGCTTCAAAACTTTTGTCCCTTGTCTGCTGTAAAATCATTCCAGTAGACATAGAACTGCTGACTGAGTGCCTAGGAGAGATATCTGGAACTATGTCCAGTTTATCAGAAAGCTCTACATGATATTCATTGTTGCTTTGATGTGGTGCATCAAAACTTATAGAGCCAAACTCTGAACTTTGATATGCAATACCTGATGTTCCAGAAATGGAACATACATCCTCAGGCATATTGTGCACATGTGATACAGAGGCGTGACTCAGTTCATGCTATAAAAAGGAAAACAAACTTCAGCAAAGACAAATGACAAGTTATGAAATATGAACTTCAATACACATATTCAAGGGCTGTACCCATTGACTTGACGCTTGATCATCATCTACAGTGGCAAGCAAATCTTTGAGTTGAGATTGAGCAAGATCTCTTTGCTGTATCAGCTCCTTGATTTCTCGCTCCATCTAAAAGAGGAAACAAAAAAGGCCACATGTTCAGAATTCATAAGGAATATTTTCTCTAAGAAAAAGGAATCAATATAGTCTATGAATCTTATACTCAAACAATCAGTGGAGGAGAGTAGACTACTGTTCATTAACTTTATTTGAATTGCATAAATAGCTGAACTAGAATTTTTTTTATGACCTTTTCAATCTGAGCATCTTTATCCCTTAGGGCTTCAAAATGAGAAGAACAGGAGGCCGATCCTGGATATTTCAGTTCACTCTCCAATCTGAAAACTTCTCTTTGTAGATGCTTAACCAATGCCTTATCAGACATCACTACATTGACCTGTGCATTTGTAACTACTTGTTTTGCACAGCTTGCAAAAAGAAGGGTATTCCTGGACTGCTCGATGTGGCTTCGTGCAGGGCTCATTGTACAGATAATAGCTGTTCTTGAATTACCTCCCAAGGAAGACTGCAGTATGCGTGTCAATTTTGAATCTCGATATGGAATGTGCCCATTTCTTCCCTTGCTGTATCAAGATCATGTAATGAAAGCTGAAATACATGCAAAAATAATGTACCGAAGAACAAAACATTTCTATTCAGCTAGTTGAGGCCAAAAGCAAATCAACTGTGGAGAAATCTAAAATCTCTTTATGGTACATACACCCTCTGGGATATATGCACTGTTGGAAGATACGAAAGCAACTCATCAACCAAATATAACCAACAACAACTTTCTCCTAAGTCCTAACCACATGTATATGTGCATTTACATTTAACTAACAAATGGTAAACGACTGGTCAATTGGATATAAAACTAACATCAGACTTCTCCTAACCAAAGAATACTTGTAAACTTGTATGTACATGTACATATAGATGTATTGTATATATAGAGAGAGATGACATGTTGCTGACAGCAATAGCTATGAACTTGTACTAGTGGCAGCAGAATGTCTCATGCAAGCTACTAGGAAAAAGAAGTGCAATAAAAGAAAGAGTAGAAGCAAATTTCAGCTTTTATCTGAAGCTTTTTTGTGGAGGACACAATTAAAACAGTGTCTTGGTATCTTAGGTTTTGAAATTCATTTATCCAAAACAAGGTACATGAAACATATCTTTAAAGAATCTTGTTAACAAGAACTAACTATTACAAACTTGAATGATTGCCAATGCACAGTAATATTCAACAACCTTAGCTTGCGTATGACAGTTCCAAGGGTAAGCAAGCTTCGATTAATGTGGCAGCCTTCCTTCAGTCTAGCACCAGTTTGAGATGCTCGTTCACTCCCTGCAAGATCAACAAAATTCTGTCCGAAGAAAATAGTCAAACTGTGTTGTCATGTGGAACAAAAATGATATAACTGATTTCTTAAGAAAAAAATTCTACCACGGTGGCTGCAAGAGTGCTTGAGCTGTTCCTATTCAGAAGCTCTCGAGCAGAACTTTCAATTGTCTACAAGGATACACAAAAAAAAATGGGTTAGTTCCAAAAGTTCCATCAAAATGGAGTATGATAATTTATATTAATCTGGTCAAAGAATCAAACCAATCTGAGTATCTGATGTGATCGTGAGCTCATTTCATTTAGGGAGGTTTCCCCTGTCTGTCTTTGTGCTGCACTAGAAAATGCGATACAGTAAATGTACAGAGTTCAGTAAGAAATTATGCACGATCATCAGGCATGCAGCATTGCACCTTCACATGTGGAAAGAAGCTCCTTGAGGTGGTTCTCATCCCTCAGAGTTTCCTCTGTAAGTTTCTCCACTATAGTTCCTCTCTATGAAGCATAACTAATAAGATTATGGAAAATACAGATTACTGAAACATCTAGTAAGAACACTCCTTTACCTCTGGATCGTCAAGTAGCCGAAGAGGGGAACCATCCATACTGAGGAGATCCCTAACCACTTCATTGTATATCTCCATAGCTGAGAATTTTAGAATGAATTCTCTCTCCTCATTCTGTGAAATCTGAATAATCTCCCCTTATGAAATGAACATGCAAAAAATATACAGAAGCTCATCTTTTACTAGAAGATAACGATCAGAGGATACCCTCTTTATGTGGTCATAGATATCTGCTACACTATACTCGGTTATCCCTGTCATTGTGTATGTCTTTCCGCTGTTAGTTTGCCCATAGGCAAATATAGTTGCTGAAACAAAACACATGCAGCATAAATTAGCTCATGATAACAAGTAGCAATCAGGTGCCTGTTAGCAATGGCCAAATAAATAGATGGGATTAATCTATGTAAGGTATTAGAGAGAGAAGTTTCATACCATTAATTCCACTTACAACAGAAAGAGCAACTTCCTTGGCTCCTTCCTCGTACACATCCCTTGTGCCGCACTTTGACCCGAAAACTCTGTCTATCGACCAAGAAGAAAACAAAGTTTAGATGGAAAATATCTTAACAGTAAGAAAGAAGAACATATACTTTTTTCTAATTCTAGATTTTGAGAAAAGCCCAATCAAATATTTAGATACATCTTCTAGCATTGCCAAGAAAGAGAAAACATGTTCTTGGCATGCTGCTCCTGAGTGACAGAGCCAAGTACATTACCTGGACAGAGATGTTCAACATGAATTGTATCTCCTTGATAGATGGTGAGACAGAGGTATTATAAGTTCAAAAATATGATATTATTAATATGAAGCAATATTCGTTGTTGCTATAAAACAATTTTGAATCCTAGAGAAGCATCTTGCTTGGTGTGTGTGTGTGTTAACAAGACCAGAATTTTCTTGAGCATCAAGAATCACCACATTGTTAAGAAGAAGCTTAGTCAGATGCAATAGATTTCCGAAACATTATCCAATTCATTTAGGACATGCAGTATCAGTTCGTTCTCATCCGCATTACCAGAGCAAGAATGGACAATAAAACAGGAAAACAAAGTTAAAGCAATTGGAAAGCACTCACCAAAAGTATAGGCTGTCGGATACATGGATCGGTCGGGGAGGTTGTTCTTGAAGACGACGGTGGTGCGATCAATGCACTCCCAATCCGAGGTGTCATTGCGCTCCAACTCCTTGGCATTGAGCGGCCTCAGCCTCACCGAGACCAGTATCCTCTCCTCCTCCCCAACAGTGCCACCGCCCTCCGCCTTCTCCCACTGCGCCGGCTCCTCGCTGCCGATGCTCCCCATTTCTCCCACCTACCTCCCCTGCACCACCAATCCGAGGACCTCCAATCTATATAATCGAAATTCCAACAATGATTGAACATGGAGAGAACCAAATAAACTAATCTAAACCCAATGTGCTGTTATTCATCTCCCCAAGAAGAAGGAAAAAATCCAAGATAAGATTTTTATCGAAGAGGAGAGGGAGCGGAGGCAGTAGAAGACGAGAATTCCACAGTGCACACCGCGCTATGCGTCGTTCATTTGGTTGATCCCACTTCGCGAAGATTTCAGCCTCAAAAAGACCTCCTTTTATTTTTTCCCCGTCCTTCAAGATTCCAACATTCTGATGCGAAGAGGTAAACAAAATGATCGCTGTTCCATCACCAATTCGATTCCGCTGCTTCTTGTAATGGAGTCGCCGCCCGAGTTTGGACATTTCTCCATGGCCAGGATGGTCCCCGCCATGACCACGGCGGCCCCGTGCCTTCCTCCTTCCCCACCTCAGCTTTTTCTTTCGTCAACCTTTTAGTAACAAGGTTCACATGGGTACTTCCTAGTATTTAAGGAGAAATCCAGAAAGAGGTACAGGGAGAGCAGCAATAATGCAGGGAAAGCAAACCTGCCCGAGCTCTTCGTCCTTGTACAATGTCCTCTCTCCAACCACCTCTGGATCGAGAGAGAGAGAGAGAGAGAGAGAGCAACAAGTAAAAGGCCTTGCCATGGTAGATGGGTCACAGATGTGCGTGTGAAACACTGAGAACGAAGAGAAGAGAAATCAAACTACTTGCGGTAACATTTGGTGAAGTCGATGCCATCCTCATGCTGATTCCTCGCATTTGATTGCCCAAGTGGGGGCGCTCTACCGCCGAGGGATGGCGAAGCGACAACGTGTAGCAGATTCCTCAATCCTCCTTTTCAAAGGCTGAGTAAAGCAAAAATAAAGGCTGAGCGGCGCGCAAACCTGTCGGTGGTTGCGTCGCGCCTTCCACCACAGCGAGTGCGGAAGGTCCCTTTGACCGTCTCTGTCTCTCTCCACCCGACTCTCCGTCTCATCAAGCAGTCAGTGAAAGAGCAGAAATTGGATTCTTGTGTGGCTCAATGACTATTTACGTGGAGAATTCGATGCATGTCCAGCCATGAGGATGCCTGCACATGCAGGTGTCTGCAGTTCGCTGAACACATCTTGAGATTTCTGATACGCTGTGTCATCGTCTCTGTGCCGAGTTTATGTTGGCAGTAAGTGTTCTTCCCTACAAGTTCTATCCAAATGCATTTTCCCAACGTCTGTCCATTCGATAATTTGCTCCGCGTGAGAGCTTAATATCATATCATGCTTTCGTTGATGATCTGCTCATGCATGGGAGCTTGAGTTCTTTGGATCTGAGCTGTATCATCTGAACTCATGCTATATGTATTCTGTGAGATTGGGAAGAACATCGTCAAAAGCTCCCACAATTCCCTGTTTCTCTCCTCAGACATCTGCCGCTGAAAGAGAACAAATATGCGATGATCTAAATCGAGTAAATAAGTGGATCTAAATGGCTCACTTGCACAATTCTTAAACCAGTAGTTCTGCACATCATGGAAGTCCGACCCATGGGCCTCTCCTTCGATGCGATACGCAGATGGAAGCCTGACCCCCTCTGCTCGAGGCGATCCCTGGAGAATGTGTTGGACGATATGAGAGGGTTATGATTAAGCTTAACATGTCAGATGAAGAACTAGACGTCGGATCTCTCTAGCAAGAGCCTCACGTTATTTGCTAATCCTCATCTGATATGTAACTGTTCTAAGATAAAAGTAGAAAACGAAGGACATCCTCCACCCGTCTATCCACATGAACAAGGATCCTAGGTAGGTGATTATGACTTGCCACCCTACATGGATAAGAGGCCAAGGAAAGCCTAATTGAGGCAATTAGAGGTTACCTCATCACAGAATATTTTATAAAATATTTTATCCTTTTATGACTAGGTATAAAAGCTCGTCTTCAACACAATGAAAATGAGATTTACTTTTGTTGACTACTTGCATACACACTCATATCGAAGGGATCGGGTCGAGAAACCTCACCCGACCATGGTCTTCATGCAGGTAGCAACTCATGAGCTTGACATTTTCATCTTGGAGGCATCTTGGACAACCTTACGCATATGGGTCCGGACCACATCGAGCTGACCAGAACATTAATGACTTCTTCCCCTGTCATTTTTGGCACTAAGATGGTCTAATATTATAGGAATACTCACTCACTAACCCTCTCGATAAACACTCAAGCGATGAAGCTTTGCTCTCGACCCATAATACTTCTATTCAAGGGGTGCAATAGCCACCCTTTCCGCACATCGACACATCTACCTCGGTATAATAAACGATGGATGAATATTGACGTTTATTCAATGACCCGGGCCTTTCACCCCAAGGACAACTCCGAGCCATCTATTCACCCTATTGAGTTGTTCTTGAATCTCACATAGCAAGTTTAGATGCTAATAAGCACCATACATATCATCATTCTACTTTTGCCCCAATTAATCCAATAAATGATGCCACTAGCTCAATCGCTATCGACATTAGCACCCATCGAAGTTCTCCCACCTGACGTGGTTTCATATCCTAGGAGCACCGAAGGACCAACAAATCGCTAGCTAAGGGAGAACTTCGCTCCTTAATCTGAAACCTAATTGGCGAATTTGACAAATGATCTACTGCGAATAAATAGACTAATATTTAGAAAAGATATAACAAAAGTTTCAACAACTCAAAGGGAAAGCACTGATCAACCCTGCCTCGGGTTGATCGTTATTCACCTAGAAAAATATAAGAGAAATCAATTATAGTGAACTTTTTCCTCGTTGGAGGGATTCGATGGTATTACCGATGCAATTTAGCATATTACAACAACTTTCCATTATCAAATATCTATAATTTAGAATCTAAGATAAATGTACTAACATTTAGAAAAGATACAACAAGAGTTTCAACAATTTGATGGTATTACCGATGCAATTTAGCATATTACAACAGCTTTCCATTATCAAATATCTATAATTTATCTCAAATTAGAGTGATTTTTATGTGTTTGACCACCTCAAAGCAATTGATGTGTTTGACTTCGTCTCGAGGCTCCTCTATAATCGTAACGGGAGTCCGAAGTTGTAGAACGACCGAGGATGCGACGTTTGAGTAGTTCCCATGCGTGCGTCCGTGTGTGCATGGCTGGGCTTCTCTATAAATGAGGACGCACGTCCTCTGTTCTTCCTCGCACCATCGGTAGCCGCATAGGGGAAAGGCGATCGTCTTCTGACATTTGCTTTGATCCCTATGGCGTTCTTCAAGAGCTTCTTGCCTTTCCTCGTCATGCTGCTGCTCGCCTGCAGCGTCCAGGGCCAGTTATTGCCCGACTTCTACAAGAGCACCTGCCCAAGACTCCAGCGAATTGTGAGATCGGCCACGAAACAGGCCATCGATAAGGACCCCAGAATGGGGGCCGCAGTGCTCCGCCTCTTCTTCCACGACTGCTTCGTCACCGTACGTGAGGCGACAGCCACGATCTCCTTCTCGTTCTGCTTTCGACTTCATCGCCATCACGGCTTCTTGCTGCTGATCTCGTGTTCGTTGGTTCCGTAGGGCTGCGATGCGTCGGTGCTTCTGGATGACACACCCACCGCCTTGGGCGAGAAGAATTCGCCTCCCAACTTCAACTCTCTCCGCGGCTACGAGGTCATCGACTACATCAAAGCGCGCGTCGAAGCAGCTTGCCCGGCGACCGTGTCGTGCGCCGACATCCTCGCCCTCGCAGCTCGTCACAGTGTTTCAGTGGTTAGTATCCACTTTCTTCATCTACGTACTACGGATCGATGGTGGTGAATGACGCGGTGCTGGATCTGGATGCAGCTCCGTGGACCAAGGTGGCAGGTGCCGCTGGGTCGCAGGGACGCAAGGACGGCGGCGAGCCAGTTGGAGGCCGGCGCCAACCTTCCCCCTGCCGGCATGGAAGTCCCAGGCCTCATCGGTATATTCGCGTCCAAGGGACTCGACGCCAAGGACATGGTCGCGCTCTCCGGCGCCCACACCATCGGCGAAACGCGGTGCGGCGTCTACCGCTCACGCATCTACACCGACAACAACGTCGACCCCAACTTCGCCGCCATCCGCAAGAACAACTGCCCGCCTTTCGGCGACGACAACAAGTGGACGCCGCTCGACCTGCAGACGCCGACGCGCTTCGACAACAAGTACTACAGTAACCTCCTGGGTGGGCGCGGGATGCTGCACTCGGACCAGGCGCTCTACAGTGGCGGACCGGCTGATAGTCTGGTGAAGTTATACAGCGCCAACAATTCCGCCTTCTTCGCCGACTTTGCGCTGGCAATGACGAAGATGGGGAACATTAGCCCTCTTACGGGAGCCAACGGGGAGATCAGATTGAACTGCAGGAAGCCAAACTGATGGTGACGACGACGATCACCATCACCACGATCAGGGTCAAGACTGTGGGATTGCTGTGTTCAGAACGATGTATTTTTCAGCCTGCAGAATGACGTTTTGTTCTCGAGAAGAAACAATTCTTTCTCCTTTTTTTTTGCATATTTCTTGCCGTTTTTCCCATCTAATAATCCAACCAAAAAACAAAAAAGTCGTATCCAAAATATTATTTATAAATTTAAATATATCTGATAACAAAATAAAAGGTATAATTAGTGAATTGGCCAAACCAAGAATAAGAAGACATGCCCTTATTTGGAAACAATGAGATCAATAATTTCTCATCCATATTACACTAAACGGAGGAGGTTCTTTCTTCTCCATGGCGATGCTGTTGTGCTTCGACTCGGATTTAGCTTTATTATTCGGAAACAAATCTTTCAGAGATACGTTTCTTTTCCTATCGAGTACAGTTTTCCGGTTCCGATTCGACAACCGACCAAAGATCAAATCTTTTCCTCTCTCTCTGTACGAGGACAGGAGGTGAGGAAAACAAAGAAGGAGAAGAGCTGTGGTTGTCGATACACAGAGTGGCGCGATGTTTCCGATGCCTTTGTCCCGCCCGCCCTGCCACAACTGGCAGCGGTTGGTGAGAGAGCAGCCATGGCTGCTGCCGGACGACGGGCACAGTGTGTTGAACTTGTCTTCTTCGCTTCCGGCCAAGTATGTGGCTCTCCCCGTTGCTAACTTCCATGACTCACCAGGCCAAACTCATGCCTTAATTATGGTGTAGCAACTCTTTATATCTTTGTTGCCTTAATTATAGAAAGGCTGCAAATCGCGAGTCAGCAAAATGATCCCGAATTAAGAAGACACAGGTTGAATGCTCTGAGATCAATAATATCTCATCCATATTACACTGACGGAATCGTACGGAGGAGGTTCTTTCTTCTCCATGGCGATGCTGTTGTGCTTAGCTTTATTATTCGGAAACAAATCTTTCAGAGATGCGTTTCTTTTCCTATCTAGTACAGTTTTCCGGTTCCGATTCGACAACCGACCAAAGTGAGGAAAACAAAGGAGAAGAGCTGTGGTTGTCGATACACAGAGTGGCGCGATGTTTCCGATGTCTTTGCCCCGCCCGCCCTGCCTCAATTGGCAGCGGCTGGAGCAGCCATGGCTGCTGCCGGACGACGGGCACAGTGTGTTGAACTTGTCTTCTTCGCTTCCGGCCAAGGATGTGGCTCTTTCTATCAATTTGCTGGTTTTTAAAGGTCAGTATTTGACCTCCTCCGTATGATTCCGTCAGTGTAATATGGATGAGATATTATTGATCTCATTGTTTCCAAATAAGAGCATGTCTTCTTATTCTTGGTTTGGCCAATTCACTAATTATACCTTTTATTTTGTTATCAGATATATTTAAATTTATAAATAATATTTTGGATACGACTTTTTGTTTTTTGGTTGGATTATTGCATGGAAAAAACGGCAAGAAATATGCAAAAACAAAAAGAAGAATTGTTTCTTCTCGAGCACAAAACATCATTCTGCAGGCTGGAAAATACATCGTTCTGAACACAGCAATCCCACAGTCTAGACCCTGATCGCCGTGGTGGTGGTGGTCGTCGTCACCATCAGTTTGGCTTCCTGCAGTTCAATCTGATCTCCCCGTTGGCTCCCGTAAGAGGGCTAATGTTCCCCATCTTCGTCATTGCCAGCGCAAAGTCGGCGAAGAAGGCGGAATTGTTGGCGCTGTATAACTTCACCAGACTATCAGCCGGTCCGCCACTGTAGAGCGCCTGGTCCGAGTGCAGAATCCCGCGCCCACCCAGGAGGTTCCTGTAGTACTTGTTGTCGAAGCGCGTCGGCGTCTGCAGGTCGAGCGGCGTCCACTTGTTGTCGTCGCCGAAAGGCGGGCAGTTGTTCTTGCGGATGGCAGCGAAGTTGGGGTCGACGTTGTTGTCGTTGTAGATGCGTGAGCGGTAGACGCCGCACCGCGTTTCGCCGATGGTGTGGGCGCCGGAGAGCGCGACCATGTCCTTGGCGTCGAGTCCCTTGGACGCGAATATACCGATGAGGCCTGGGACTTCCATGCCGGCAGGGGGAAGGTTGGCGCCGGCCTCCAACTGGCTCGCCGCCGTCCTTGCGTCCCTGCGACCCAGCGGCACCTGCCACCTTGGTCCACGGAGCTGCATCCAGATCCAGCACCGCGTCATTCACCACCATCGATCCGTAGTACGTAGATGAAGAAAGTGGATACTAACCACTGAAACACTGTGACGAGCTGCGAGGGCGAGGATGTCGGCGCACGACACGGTCGCCGGGCAAGATGCTTCGACGCGCGCTTTGATGTAGTCGATGACCTCGTAGCCGCGGAGAGAGTTGAAGTTGGGAGGCGAATTCTTCTCGCCCAAGGCGGTGGGTGTGTCATCCAGAAGCACCGACGCATCGCAGCCCTACGGAACCAACGAACACGAGATCAGCAGCAAGAAGCCGTGATGGAGATGAAGTCGAAAGCAGAACGAGAAGGAGATCGTGGCTGTCGCCTCACGTACGGTGACGAAGCAGTCGTGGAAGAAGAGGCGGAGCACGGCGGCCCCCATTCTGGGGTCCTTATCGATGGCCTGTTTCGTTGCCGATCTCACAATTCGCTGGAGTCTTGGGCAGGTGCTCTTGTAGAAGTCGGGCAATAACTGGCCCTGGACGCTGCAGGCGAGCAGCAGCATGACGAGGAGAGGCAAGAAGCTCTTGAAGAACGCCATAGGGATCAAAGCAAAGGTCAGAAGACGATCGCCTTTCCCCTATGCGGCTACCGATGGTGCGAGGAAGAACAGAGGACGTGCGTCCTCATTTATAGAGAAGCCCAGCCATGCACACACGGACGCACGCACGCATGGGAACTACTCAAACGACGCATCCTCGGTCCTTCTACAACTTCGGACTCCCGTTACGATTATAGAGGAGCCTCAAGACGAAGTCAAACACATCAATTGCTTTGAAGTGGTCAAACACATAAAAATCCTACTAATTTAAGATAAATTACAGACATTGTTCCTAATTAAATTAAGAACAATTCAAAATATTGTTTATTTTTTTTGTAGTATAGTTTTTTTTAGCTAAATATGTGGCTATGAGATGAAAGACCACATTAAGTACGTGAAACCATGGACGAGTCACGTTGGGTTCACAAGGTTCGGCTCGTTAGCGAACCGAGATAGACCAAACCGTGAAACGAACCGTGAAACGCCACATTTCGTTTCACCCTTTCTTGCCGGAAACCAAAATTGGGCACCGGTCCAGACCGTCGCCGACACGGAAGCATCGTGGTCTACTATGTCTGGAGGATCCATCGGTGGTGGCGTCGGGCGAGGCGAGGGAATGGCGGCGGAGTCACCCGACGGGGCCTGCCACGGGGATCGGAGCGGTGGAGGTGACGGCGATCTGCGGCGCAACCCGAAGCCCTCGACCTACAAAGGGAAGTCGTGCAAGGGATGCCTCTACTATTCCTCGCGGCTCAGATCTGACTCCAGTAACCCCGTGTGCGTCGGCATCAGCCGGACTCTCCCCCAAGGTCCATTTTCTTTCTTCCTGCCTTAAAGGTTTCTAGTATATGCAGATTATAACCTGAATTTCCATGGCAAAGATGAACTTTAGGGTTATTGAACTTTAGGTTTTTTGGATGATAGAATGTCATGCATGTGTTCATGAATCAGGGTTATTGAACTTCAATACTATGGGTGTATTGTTGATTTTTGCAACATGTTGAATTGTTTGTCAACTCATTCAAATACTTCTGCTAATGGATTGGTGACCTCCACTATGATGGAAAGGAAAGTCTGTTATCAGTTCTTGGGAAAGAAGTATAGGATATCATCGTAGGTCGCAAAAAGAACAACCAAAAGAATCAACAGCAAATAAAATATAATTCCAAGATTTAGCATTTAAAAATATGAAACAAAATAAGTTAATTGAGTCCCTTGCATGATGCTTTATGCCACTCCTGCTATTGCCAGCTTAAAACATGTAAAATATTGCAAGTTTTCCATATTTGATGCCTGGTTTATAAGAAAACGGTTCGTTTAGTCAAGCAAATTGCTACACCATGTATGATAGTGATGTTAGGAAAGGGAAATAGAATTATAGGGAGGATACCCGACTGAAAATAGATGGTACTCTCTTATTCTTGCCTGGTCCATGTGTCTTAAGAACCTCCAGCTCACCTACGGTTTTTTTTTCTTCGTTATTGTCAATGAAATGTGTTGTTAGAATAGAGTTGTACAAAATTGACAATCCAATCTACATGTTGTCACCTTAATGGTGAAGTTCCTTATTAACATAAGAATGCAGTCTTGTTAAAAGCTGGATTGGAACTTTTAAATTGGTAGGTGTTAGATTCAGTACCAGTTTCATTAGTGCCCTTGATCAAATATATTATGACAGTGTAGAGCTTTCAAGCACTGTCTGAGGTCAATGCTCTTGGTGCCGTGGAATCACAGCATTCTTTCTTGTTCTTCCAATTGGATAACAAAAGAAATTGATTTGGTCAGTTCCTCAATTTTCGGGTTAGATATTCTTTAGCGGCTATAGAATGTCTTCCTCCTATTTTGGAGTCACATTAACTAATCCTTTTATTATAAGATAGCTAAACCAGTTTGTCATATATCTATAGTGTATTATCAGTTATTAATTGTTATTTCAACCTTCACATGTTAGATTCTTCTTCAGGCCATAGATAGCATTGAAAATTATGTCAATTTGATTGCAGTCTTAACCAAGACCATAAAACCTCAATAACAGAATGTACTTTTTTCCTTATCAATTTCAGTCCATCATATAGGTCCTCTTTCCTCAGAGAAGTTTCCATTGATTAATTCCATGGAGTTAGGCATGAATATAAACCATGATATTAAGTGCCATGGAGTTAGGTATGAGTTAAAAACACAGAAGTATTAAGTGTACATTAGCTGAAAAGTGGTTTGCTTTTTAGGCTTCTTAAATCTCTGATAACTAGAGGACTTTTCCGTGGTTTTTATCTATGATTGACCTATTAGCACATTTCTATCTGATTTTGTTTGTATTTTTTTTAATCTTGTTCTTTTTCCAGTCCACCATAACTTAAGGAGTTATTTGGTCTGAAATGATTCATTGGATACTGACATATTATCGTATTGTTTTTTATCTGAAAAATTGGCTACATGAGATTCATTCTATTTTCATTGGCAAATAAATATGAACTCTTGTCACCAGTACCAAGCTACATCATTGGAGAATCTGAAATGGAAACTACAAAAGATGGTCATAACCTGTCAGATTTCAAGTATGCCTGTGTTGGTTATTCAGTTTTTCTTGATAAGAGAGATGGCCCTGTTGAAAAGCCAGAGAACCAATCAGAGTTGCCGTTTTGTGCAGGCATAGAGGTATTTCTTGCTTCTATGACTTTCTTAACTGCATTTCCCTTTTTAGATTTATCAGAAGTATGGATCTTTTAATCATTATTGTATGTGTCTCTATGTGCTTACTGGAGCAGAGAGTTGATGCATGCATTAAAAACCACTGGTATATTATCCAGATGCACCTACTTCTGTAGTTAGGCATGCACAAAGACAACTTCTATTACAGTTCTTGTTTGCTCTGGCAATTACTGCTAAGCTTGTAACATGGTTTCGCATGGGCTCCCCATGGTTATTTAAATGATGGTTTCTCTCAGTGTTGGAAAGTTTAACCTGGTTATACCTGGACAAAGCATCCATGAATGATAATATCCCATAGTCAGCAATCTTATTTATGAAGATATATATGTATGGCAGTGGAAGGTTAACTTGGGCAAGCCGTACCAAGGTCTTATAAATCAAGCAAAGACAAACTTGTCCATAATTCTATCACAAGATATTTGTCCATATAGAACTAGTCGATCTCAACCCTAGGTTCATATTGACCTTTGATATGTCTCTCATAATTAATATTGCTTGCAAATAGCATAAAAGATGTCATTGAACTCAATCAAAAACATGGAAATAAGTCTAAATAATTATGGTTACCTGGAGACTTATCTGTGTCAAAGAAATTTCTAGTGCAGACATGTTTCATGAATTCATCTTGTTATTTTTTGCTTTACCTTTTATAAAAACTCAAGAACTTCACTGTGGTCCAGACTCCAGAGTGCTGCAATTTATAGATATTGACAACAAATGGAATAGCCAAGAGTGCACTTTGAAGAGTTAACTCTTGTATCTTTTACTTGCAAAAAGATTATGTTTTTTCGGAACTCAACCTTTTCACTGTCAGTTTTCTAACATCTGTAGAAATTTATCGTAGCTATTGGTGGACAGGAGAGCTTCAACTGCTGGTCATGTTCCTGCAAATGTTCACAAGGAAGGTATTTGAACTGCAAAATGTTTTTTGGGAAGTTCTAATTCATATAGGATGTAAATGGATGTTGAATTATGTTTTTTCTGTTACACTGGATAATAGTGCAGATTTCTTGATATGATTATATTCTTGGTTAAGGGGTTAGGCTCGAAACATGCGACTTGACGTTCCTTGAGCCTCGAGCTCTCAATGTGGAAAGACCAGTCTTATGAACAACATTAATCTTTTTGCTAGTTCATGATGAGGAAAGTAGCAGACTGTATCTTTTGTGAGCATTTTTTTCTTCAAAAAAGCAAGGAGATGGGAAAAGTGCAATTTGTACTGTCAATTTTCTGAATATTTATACCAGAATAATGGCTGAGATCATCAAAGCATTTTATTCTTATTCTTGTAGATCCTAAATTGGAATTTGGACCAGTAAATCCCTTAGAACACTGAGTGGGCCTGAAGAAATCAAATTCGTAATGTTATTACTATTGTTTTAGACTAAGCTTGGAAAGTGAGCCAAGAAGTAGAAGCTGAACCAGGTCAAAAGTTGTTTATTAGAGTTCTGTTTGGTACAAGCATTAATGGTAATACATCAAACTTAGTAAGTTGTTACAAATCTGAAAATTGTTATCGTTGGTCAAATTATAATATGCTTATGCTTAAAGAGGCTTCTCGCTGTGTATTCTTAAAGTTGTTTACTGAAGATTATTTGCATTTGTAGATCATTGAAAATTTTGAGAAGCTGTTTGGGCAAGATGTAGGGGATTAATCAGTATAAAGAAGTCATAACCATAAGGTGTTCTTCTAATACTGGCCTCGCAATAGCTAAAGCCAAAACCCAGAGGTTTTCAGGATTTTTTGTGACCCAGATGGAACCCAATGTTTACTGCATATCAAAATTGTGATAGCTCAGAGTGCAAATCTGGAGCTAGATTAAGAAGTCCATATGCTGTACCTAATCAATTTTTCGAAAATCTTGTACATGCTGTGAGCAGCAAGAGTTGTTTCTAGCCTTTGTGACTATAACAACAATCTGATGGAGAGCTAAAGGTACTCTCATGATTCAAAGGCTTTGATAATAATTAGAGGATGTGAACCATGCAAAGACATGCATCTTTGCAAGTTGCTCCTTGGCTATAATGTTTCCAGTGGACTCTGCTGGTTATAGTGGATACAAGGTTTTTAGCAAAGATGTATCAAGAATGTCTGTTGTCGCCATCTAAATGTGGGAAACTATTTCTATAACTTTTTTAATTGCATCTTCTATTGTTGTCAGTTAGCCAAACTAAAGTTTGTCAATTTGCATGAAATTTAAACAAAGTGAAGATTCATATTCTTTTTTTGCAGATACTTCTTGCGCCTTTTATTGATATAGCTCAGTGGCAAAAAAAAAAAGACCTACATACCTAATACAAATAGTTTGGACCTTAGGGCTTCTTCTTTTTGTATCTTGTACCTTTTGTGATCTCCTTGCCGTGATATGGGTTGTCCACCGTTGCCTGCTATTCTCTTTTGGTGTGTCTGTTTCTCCTGTATTTCCATTATTTCTGCAATTTGGCAATCTGATCGGGTGTTGTCGATGTAGATGCTACGCTTCGTTCTCAACCACATCCACACCGACCAGCTCAATCTTCAGGGGACGAATTCTTCAGCAGGAAAGCAATTAGTTTTAATTCTATTTCTACAGATTCCCCGTCCAACTCAGTGTGAAGAATACTAAGGCTTGTCTGTATGCAGGTTTAGAAAGAATGCTGGAGTAGTGGCATCAGGGGTGGCCAGAAACCTGAACAAAGTGGGCAATTACATCAAAGAAAACATCGAGGACATATTGTATCCTTATCGAAGGCCACCCAAGTAAAACCTTTACCCTAACCAACAGTTGATCTCAACGGATCTCCCATGTTTCTTTCCTTTCTGTGCTGTATAAGTTTGAATGCCATCACTTGTTGTGAGAATAAATCTGTTGTAAGAATCTATGTGCTTGGATGCTGCATGTTGGCTTTGTAGCAACATTCCTTTTCTTTTCAATTTCTTTGAAATATTGTGGCATTTTCTTTTGTTGGCTTAATGTAATTCCTCTGGTTGTACATTTAGTCATGTCATCTGCCAATAAAATTGGTGTTTGTTTGTGTTTGACCACACTCAAATATGACCATGTCAACTGATTTCATGTAAATCTGTTATAAACATTCTTCAGAGGTTCTGCATAGAAAATAAAATTATGGAAAATGACTAATAAAAACAAATATTTGAGTTCCTGAAAGAACAGAGACTGATGCAGGACCCAACTGTCTGTCCTCCATTCTGTAGTCTTGTCCTTGGAATTCCTGAAAGATCAAACGACATGAGGACCCATCGGTGTCTCAACAAGCCAATATATTGCAGGTGGAGGCTACTTCTTTATGGGTCTCGACAGATTCCTTCTTGTTCTTTTTTCGCTCGATCTCAAACACAATAAAAGATTGTCCGTTGTCATTACCTACCTCGACAACCTTTGGACCATGTCGAGGTTGGCTCACACTGTTTTCTTCTTGGAAGAGAATCCTTGACCTTACCACGGGCCTCACCGCCCATGAAGGATACAGTCATGAATTAGGCTGCTTAATCTCAATCGGAGAAGACAGCGGTCGCAGACGCATACCGACGAAAACACGCTTGCTAGGTGACAGATGAAGGCAGACCTACCGCTGCCCTTTATGTCATTTCTCCTTGCACCAGTGAAATGTCACAACCAAACTGTGGTCAAGATCTTCCATCGAAATGGATGGTCGGTCAAATCCAACGCTGCCCATCACGCTTTCTGTACCAGAGACATGTCTCTTTCGACTTCCACATCCCTCGAATCACCGAGGGGAAGAACACTCGATAAAAGAACGCGAATGGCTCTGGTTCCGAGGAATGGATTCAGATGGCATGGCAGGCAGGCAGGCCATGTCTCGTCCACCCAGGGAAACAGTGGCCGCGAAAGGGATGGATGAGCTCCGGCCCTCTCTCTGTCTCTCTCTCCCCACTGATGGTGGACGTTGCTGTTGTAATCACCCTGCTCTATCTTTCTCAATTCTACACGCGTTTCTCCCACTGCTGTCGCCTTCCTCTCTCTCTCTCTCGCTCTCTCTCTGTATCCGTGCTCGTCACCAAACCACCCAGAAAAGAATCCACTGGGCGAGTCAACCCACATCGTCTTCCACTCCTATTTGCCTGACACACTCAAAAAGCCATACTCCCAAGCACCAATCATGGAGGAGTGACTTCAACCCCAAGCGAGGCGAACAGTAGCGGCGCTTTCCCCCAAGCATGAACTCGGAGTCCAACGTGGATCCACCGACACAGCCCCGAACGGAGCGAGAAATTACAGATCGCAGTCACCTCTTTCACTCCATGATTGCACGACCACTGCGCCAGTACAATCGACTCCTCTATATATGAACTTGTTCCTCGATTGCTCCCGAAACCATGGCTGCTTCTTCATACTTCACGCTTCCTTTCCGTCTGCTACTGCATCTCCTGCTCCTCGGTCTATTTTCTGCAAGCAATGTACGCTCTCCTCCTCTACTTCATCTCTTGTTTCACTGTGTCTGCTCCCTGCTGTACTGCGTTTTGATGTCCCCCTGTAGGTCTACATCGTTTACATGGGAGAGAAGGCGCAGGACGAACCAGCGGCAGCTACGGAGCTGCATCACGCAACGCTGTCCACCGTGCTTGGAAGGTTCGACTCTGCTCCTGGCCCTCTTCGTTCCTACCGAAACTACTCGTGTGATTCAGACTTTTTGTTCGCAGCAAGCAAGCGGCCACTTCCTCGATTCTTTATAGCTACAAGCACGGATTCTCGGGGTTTGCCGCCGTTCTGACAGAATCTGAGGCAGCTCGTGTTGCCGGTAAGTTTGTGAACGTTTGCTGGTCGTTTTGGGTCCCGGGCGTTAATTGGTACTGAGCATTGTCATAGATTTGGCGGGAGTTGCTCATGTCGTTCCGAATCGGATTCTTGATCTGCACACGACAAGGAGTTGGGATTTCCTTCATCTGAAGTCAAACCCTTCGGGTGGGCTTCTTGAGATGAGTCGGTCCGGTGATGGGTCGATCATTGGGGTACTAGATACTGGTACTCTTTACTAGTTTACTCCTCCTTCTGATCACTGGTAGCCGACATTGAGTTCATTTGTTCTTAGAAGTTTGTGTTTCTTGATGGAAGGAATATGGCCCGAGTCCGAAAGCTTCAGCGATCGTGACATGGGAGAGATTCCATCTCGTTGGAGAGGAGTCTGCCAAAAAGGAGAGAAGTTTCATGTTTCTGACTGCAATAGGTCAGTGTTTCCTTTGTTGCCTTAATTGATTGGCACAACTCTTACTCTTGAGATGCACATAAGTTGTTTGTGAATTTGTTGCTGAAGCAACAGCTCCCAAATTTGTGCGGTCGATTGCCTATGTCAACTTCTTTAGCTTCAATTCTGACAGTGCTTTGCCTTACTGAAGTAGAAGTGCTTTCATCTAAATGGTTTAGTTATCAGCATGGCAAGACACATCATAATTTTGCCTTCCTGGGGTGAGCAGAACATGATGTTGTTGTGATTCTTGAAACATCCAGCATTTGAGTCGAGACTTTTATTGCACACACATATTTGTTGAATGTTGAACGAAGGTCAAGTATGAATTTACTACTGTCTCAGACCAATCCTGTTTTGTTGCAAATTTCGATTTGGCCATGAAGAAAAAAAGGTGAACTTCTTGGTAATGGAAGAAGGCAAACATGAAAGAGGATGCGAAATGTGAGCTTTTGTAAGTGGATCAGTGATTGACTTCATTAACAACATTCAATTGTATAGTTGTCCGCCTTTAGATCTATTCTGGAGGGCTGGGAATATGTGCAGTGCTGAAATCCACATCAGAAATTTTGATTGCTTTTGTGTTGTCCTGCATGTATTTGTTTTTTTTTTTCCTTCTCTTGGTTCCGATGGTAATCAAATCAAGGTATGTAATATCGTACCGTATCAGTGTTTCGAGGTTGGCTCGGTATCAGTGTTTCGAGGTTGGCTCGGTATGGTATGGTACCATGTATCGAGCGATACACCTAATTTAGGTGTAAAACCCTCCAAATTTTTTTTTTTTTTTAAAGTTAGGATAGGGTTTTAAAGTTAAAAATAAATATAGTAATAGTATAAGTTTAGCAAAATCAATGTAAATTAGGTAAGAATAGTATCACATATCTTTTTTGAGCTTTGAAGAATATCTTATACAAGGTTCGTATTTCAGTCCATTACGAGTTGTTCTTATGTAAACATACCTCTTGATTAGAAAGTTCTTCCTCTTAATCTTTCTAAATTAGTCTTGATTCAATTCACAAATCATTGTTTTGTAGAGTTTAGGAGAGCACAAATGTGAGAAAAAAAAGTTTGAGATAGTTTAAGAGAGTGAAAATGTAATGAAGCTAAATAGGGGTTTAAATACTATGAGAAAGGGCTCCAACGGTCAATTTGACCGTTGGAGCACTGTATCACTATTGTCGAGCGGGTTTAAATATTTCTTCCTCTTACTGTAGCACGTTCCGTCCGATAGTGGGCGGTCCGCGTACCGGTATACCATCGGATCGGTACGTACCACTCGTACCGGGCGGTACCATTCGAAATTGCATATCATGAATCAAATAATAGTTTACTTGATAGTTAAAATAGATGCTTCTTAGTTGTGACCGAGTTAAGTAGCCTTTGAATCTGTCAAAATTATCTTGTTGAACTTTCTGAAGCAACGTGAGTTTTGGGAAATGTATCGTTGCTGTTTTTTAAGCTGATGTTTAGCCTACATCTTTTACTCTTGATTCTTAGGTGATTTATCATCAAATACCAAAATATGAAGGTGGTTATGTTTTTAATAGCACCGATCCCTCCTGCACACTTAAATATAATCATTTGATGCTCTCCATCTATCCAGAACTCAATTTTTTATGATGTACATGGATAGGTCTTTCTCCTTCTAGCCTAGACAGACTATGCATATTTACTTTCTGAGAAACCCTCTTGTCACATTCCCAGTTTTGCTAATGATTGTTCCCATCTTTTGCTATAGCTGTGGATTTGTAAGGGGTTCACAAAATCATTGTATACCAATCTCTCTGTTATTTGCAACATTTTGCACATGGCATCAATTCCTAAGATTGAGTTTGTATTCCTGACTAGTAAATAGAAACAACAGTGTTCTAGACCTTGTGATTATTGAGGTGGTGACTTCAAGTTTCACAATAGGGCCTTTTTGCAGGAAAATAATTGGAGCACGATGGTACATCAAAGGATATGAAGCTGAATTTGGAAAGTTGAATACAAGTGACATACTGGAGTTTCTATCTGCTCGTGATGCAGTCGGACATGGTACACACACATCATCTACTGCTGCTGGTGCATTTGTAGGTAATGCGAGCTTTATGGGAATTGCTCGAGGAATAGCAAGAGGAGGTGCTCTAAGGGCTAGGTTGGCTATTTACAAGGTGTGCTGGGCTACTGGTGGTTGCAGCTCTGCGGACATCCTTGCCGCTTTTGATGATGCAATACATGATGGGGTAGATGTGCTTTCAGTGTCTTTGGGCCAATCACCCCCACTTCCTACCTACATTGAGGATGTTCTGGCCATTGGTTCTTTTCATGCTGTGGCCAGAGGGATAACTGTTGTCTGCTCTGCAGGAAATTCTGGTCCTTTCTCACAGACTGTGATAAATACGGCTCCTTGGGTTATAACCGTTGCAGCAAGCACGATAGATCGAACTTTTGTGACATTCATATCCCTTGGGAACAACGTAACAAAAGCGGTATACATTAAACTCCTCCTCATATATAGCTCACGATTCACTTTTTTTTTATTTTGAAGGCAAGCTTGTGATACATTTAATAGCTTTCATAAACTATAAATTCTATTTTGAGTTGTTTAATCATGCAAGATATTTTCTGCATTTATGTTTTGATCAGATACTTCCTAATCAGTGTGGCAAAAATGCTTTTGAATTTACATGCTTTCAACCTGTGAATTGCAATTCTATAGATCGAACTTTTGTAACATTCATATCCCTTGGGAACAACGTAACAAAAGCGGTATACATTAAACTCCTCATATATAGCTCACGATTCACTTTTTTTTTTATTTTGAAGGCAAGCTTGTGATACATTTCATAGCTTTCATAAACCATAAATTCTATTTTGAGTTGTTTAATCATGCAAGATATTTTCTGCATTTATGTTTTGATCAGATACTTCCTAATCAGTGTAGCTAAAATGCTTTTGAATTTACATGCTTTCAACCTGTGAATTGCAATTCTATAAACAACTTTCTTTGACTTGTCTCCAATTGTAAATATTCAGGGTCAAGCATTATACCTCGGGGAGCATGTGGATAAGTTCTATGGGATAGTTTATGCTGAAGATATTGCTTCAGATAATGCAGACAGTACTGATGCCCGGTAGGACCTTCAATACCTGTGCTTAATTATCCGCCTTGTGTACTCTCAAGTTTCTAGCTAAGATGATGTCTTTGTAGAGGTTGCGGTGCAGGTTCGCTAAACGCAACTCTAGCAAGAGGAAAGGTTGTTCTATGTTTCCAAACTCGGGACCAAAGATCCCCTCTTGTTGCTTCAGACACTGTACGAAGAGCTCATGGTGTTGCCGTTATCTTTGCACAGTTCCTGACTAAGGATATTACCTTTGCTTTTGATTTCCCCTGCGTCCAAGTTGACCTTGAAATTGGAACATCTATACTCACTTACCTGGGCAGCACAAGGTACTTCTTAAAATTGATTTCTCTTGTCATCATGGACTCACAACTTAATCGATTTCTATAAATTGTTATCGCCCAGGAAACCTATTGTGAAGTTTAGCACCACAAAGACTGTGCTGGGGACAGTGATTGCCCCTGAAGTGGCGTACTTCTCATCTCGAGGTCCTAGTTCACTTTCGCCGTTTGTGTTGAAGGTACCACTGTAATTCAACTAAATATCAAACACTTTCAGTTGTTCTTATTTGTGCTTGATAAACTGATAACGCGTTAGTCACCTCTCCTTTTCAGCCAGATATCGCCGCACCTGGTGTAAATATCTTAGCATCTTGGTCACCAGCTTCCCCTCCACGCAATATGCCTCCGCTTAACTTCAAGATCGAGTCAGGTACCTCCATGTCCTGTCCTCACATTTCTGCAATTGCTGCTCTTCTCAAATCAATCCATCCTAATTGGAGCCCGGCTGCAATAAAATCTGCAATAGTCACAACAGGCAAGCGACATTCACTCTGTTTCGACTGTATTTACTACCATGAGTATCGATCTAAGCTGTTTCTGCTTCAACAGCCTCTACTATCGACGAGTATTCTCTTGGCGTAGTAGCTGAGGGAGCTCCTCACAAGCAAGCTAACCCATATGACTTTGGAGGTGGACATGTGGATCCGAACAAGGCCATCGATCCTGGCTTGGTATATGACATGAGAGTGTCTGCTTATGTGCATTTCCTGTGTTCCGTGGGCTACAACAACTCAGCCGTGAGTTCATTGACACAACATCCCACCATCTGCCATGACATATACCAATCACACAAGGACCTAAACCTCCCTTCCATAACCATCCCTCAGCTGAAAGAGAGCTTTACAGTCACAAGAACAGTCACAAATGTCGGTCCAGCGACATCTACCTACACTGCTCATGTGGAAGCACCTCGAGGGGTAAGCGTTCGTGTCAGACCCTCAATCTTAGCGTTCAACTCGACCGTGCAGAAGCTCAAGTTCAAGGTGACATTCGGGTCGCGGCTGAAGGTGCAAAGCGGATACTTGTTTGGGAGTTTGACATGGAAAGATGGAGTCCACCATTTGGTTAGAATTCCACTGGCAATTCGCATTGTCATCGATGAGTTCGATATTTACACTTAATAGGATTGTCTTCTTTCTCCTTGTTCATAAGTGTCTTTGAAATAGAGCAGGGAGTAGATTGTGACTTCAAGATCTCATTCTAAAGAAATCAGACAAATAATCAAATGATATTATATATATATATATATATATATATATATAATATAG